GGATGCTGCCGCTTGCCTTATACATTTATGCAGTTCAAATTTACTAAAAGCATTGAGATCCAATATGTCAGGTGCAGTTAGTAACTTTTAAGTTTCTACACTTATGTAGTCAAAAAGCACCGAGATCCGACATTCCAGGTGAAGTTATAACTTCCAAACTTCTATACTTATGCAGTTCAAATTCACTAAAAGCATCGAGATCCAACATTCCAGGTGCAGTTAGTAGCTATGCCAGGCTATCTGACCCTGAAGAATATATAGCCCATATAGCTCACTGACTAATTTGAGATATGCAGTTCAGAATTAAAGAGATAGAGACATGTCTGAAGTTGATGTTTAGTGTGTAGAGATGCATGCACAGTTGCATCGAATGTTCCGGTTAGATAATCATCAAGATGATCTTCTTGTTCATCGTTCATCAAATCATCCGTGAAAATGTCATATAAATTTGTAAAATACGATTTATGCGTACTGCGCGTCAAATCAAATGCTAAAAAATAGCAAACCGTATGCTCGAATTGATAGCATCAAACTGCTGCTGCTGCTTCGCTTGCTGTCCCTTCTTCCCTTTCCTCTTCTTCTTCCCTGTTGTTCCAGCAGCCGTATCACCACTCATCTGACCGGCCCCTTCTTGCTGCTTATTCTCCGGAATCGGTGGAATTTGTTCCCCGGGAGCTCCATTATCATTCCCGAGTTGTTCTGCATTTTGTTGCTGCTGCAAAAAAAAATTTTCAGTTAATTAGAACTGACTTGAATTTTAAAAAAAAAGAATTTCAGTTAAAATAACTGACTTGAAGTTTTTTTACGATTTTCTGTGATTTTAAAGAAAAAAATCCTAAAATCTCCTCATTACGGGGTAAAATTATACAGTCAGTCGAAATTACAGTGATTTCTATTTGGATCAGTTGTAATTTATAGCTTATTTTTACAGAAGTGCAATACCATTCTTTTTAGCTGTTTTGACCTACAGTCAGCTTGGTGACGATACTAACGCTCGCTTCTTATCAGAAGCAATTGGCAAAGCCCTACCGTTCTAAGATTTCCTTCGTTTTTTTTCAAGGAAAAATCCTATCAAAAGAAAACTACTTCTGCCAATTTTTTGAGTTATTCCGGTAATTTCTCGTGTTTTTTATGGTTTATCTGCTGACTGCTCTGAGGAAATTTGCCTTTTTCTTGGCCTGTAATTTGGCTCGTAATTTCGCTTCGGTAACTGATTTTGGCTCTGGTTGTGGCTCAACAACAATATCCGGTTCAGAAGCTGATCCAGGACCCAATTTGATACCGCGGCGCTGTGCTTCACGACGCAGTCGTTCCAATGTTTTACGTTTGCGTTCGATTTGCTCTTGCTCAGATGCAACTGAAAAAAAAAAACCGAACTTTTACAGGATGTTTCCGGAAAATTTAAGTTAGGAGGTCTATGACCTAATGGACCGAAACGTCTTATCTCACTCTTGCACTCTTTTCTCATACCGTTCTTTCATGCTGCAGTCTATCGCTCCTTCGTCTCTTAGGCAACCAAGGTCAACTTGGTTGCTACAGTCGGCTTAAAAGGTATAAATCCCCAGTTGCCCCCTCCCCCTCCCATCTTC